TGTACAAAAAAATATGAAAGGGGAAAGTTAGCATTCCCCCCCCCCCCCCCCCCGATGCCAAGCTCACAGCAAATCGCACCAAATTGCCATGGCATTGAAACCCCACGTGAATAAGAGAGTAGGGGGGGGAGGGGAAAAATCACCTTTTTTTCTTTAAAAGAAAAAAATATTACAATAATTTTAAACTCCATTTCAGTGCCCCTCGTTATACTGAGCACGAAGATGCTTCTGCGGCAGCGCTGCCCTTGGCCGGGGGCCGCCGCCGGTCCGCACGCAGAGGGGCTTTTCTCACGCCTCTGAGCGCGGTTTTATTTGACGGTGGTTTGAAACTGGGTTTATTTGATGGTGGGTTTATTCATTTTTATTCATTTTTATTTGTTGGCCTGCCCCGCCGGCGTCTGCAGAGACTTCTCCCCCTCCATGAGATGCTCCCATCACAGAAAACAGCTTTCTCTCTCTTTTTTTCCTTCCAGCCGCAGCGGGTTTATGCTGCGCAACGTGGGCTAAAACACAAAGATTTGGGTCTCCTGTCAGCACCGTTTTTTTTTAACAGATGGGTTTTACAAACCTGGTGGGACACGGGATCTCGTTTTCGCCTTCATTAACCAGGGAAATGATCTTAATTATCCAACTACTGACAGATCTGCCCCTCCGCCCGCATCTTTTCAAGCCCCCCCGAAAGGTTTCAGTTGAGAATTGGCAAGGCAGATTGATATACAATAAACTGTTTAGATGAAGAGAAAATAAAAAATAAACCTATTTGATCGGTGTCGTCGGGGCATGCAGCCGTAGTTTTGCATTGCTTGGGGTCACACCAGAATTTCACGTCACGGATGTCCGAGTGCCGTAAATTCCTGAGCTGTAAATGTTGGGAAAGGCAGGCACCCAAACCCTCCTGGACGTTTTCAGTCCTAATGCCCAAACGTTGGCCCTGCCGTGTGCCGAAATCCCAGAAAAACAGGATAACCCAAAGTAAAGCCACAGCCATCGCAGACGTCAAGCACCCGGGTGCCTCTGCGGGGCTGAAGCGCGAGGCTTTGCGTCGCCAAAATCCCCACAGCTGGGTGCCGCAGAGGATTATCCAAAGGGATAAAAAAAACCAAACCCCAACCCTCAACAAACCTAAAAACCCCAGCGCATCTCTCAAACACAACCCGTGAAATGGAGACGCGGCTGCGTTTTCCGTGGGTCCGGGAGAGGAGGGTGCGGCGATGCCGGAGCGCCGCGGGGCACGGCTGATCCCAGGGATGCTCGGAGGAGGCCACCCCACGACGCTTTGCGAGGAAGCCTGTGCAAAAGCGATTTTTTTTCCGACTAGTAGGGGATCAGGGTCCAAACCTGCGGTTTTTAGGGCAGCTCCGAGTGCCAGGCGGCTGGGGTGCCGCTTCCCAGGGTCACAAAAACCTCCTCGGGGGCTGACCAGGCGCGTTATCTGAGCCAGAACCGCCGCAGCGGTCATCGCTTGCGTTCCACTTAACGGGAAAATAAAAAAAGGGTCTTAGTTATTGGCTGCGTGCCTGGCCAAAGGGTTTTAATGGTCCTTCTCGCAGTTCAGCTTCTTTCTCCGGCCACCTCCACCCCTCTGCCTCTCTTGCACCGGTCCTGGGGACCCAACATATCTTAGGCCACTCACTCCGAGGCAGTAATTAAAAGGTCTAATTAAAAAATGTGGGATATTCGCCCAGGACACAGAGTCCCCCACCTAGGGAGTGTTCCCAGCGCGTTCCCACAGGTTTCCCCACGTGATATTTTTTGGGGGGAGGCTCCATTCCCAACCTACCACTGTTTGAACCGCAGGGATGCCCATCACGCCTCGGAGCACAAAGGCCATCTGACGTGCCTTGGAAAAAACATAAATAGCCCAGCGCGGGCTCCGGCAGGCGTTGCATTTCTCCGACTCCATCGGGGGGGCAGGATCAAATCCCACCGGTACCTGAAAGCCTTCAAGCCCACGTCCCCAGCCCCGGTCATCGGCGACAAAGAGCTTTTGCCATCGTCCCACCCCAGCAAGGATGAGCCTGCGGTGAAGGTAACGCTCTCCCCCGAGCTCCTTTTCATTGCTAACAGGGTTCGGAGCTGGGTTTTGCCGGGGTTAAGGATTTCTTTCTTTTCTTTTTTGTTTTTTTTCTTGCCCATATAACTCAAATGGCTGAACGGATTTTCTTCAAAGGCTCCGAAACAGCCAGGGTCTAGTGGTAAAAAAATAAGGTTATGGAGAGTTTGCGCTGAAGGGAGCCGGGGAAATTAAAAAAAACTTTGTAACTTGGGGTCTAGGAGGCTGCCTGTTAAAAACAGAGACGCTGAGAGCGAAGCGGACGGAAAGGCTCAAGGAGCCGGGGTGAGCGGCACCTCTGCTCCCAGCCACGTCCCAAGAGGGGATGGGGTGGGAGCCCATGCCTACAGGGTGTGGGATCCGCGACCCTCCTCCCCCTCTGCCCACGGGGGAGCCTGGGCCAGGGCGGGCAGCATCTGGCTGAAGGCCACCAACTCTGCCATGGGGAAGAGTCATCGCCCTACGATAACTAACCCGTGCGGCTCAGAGACCCCGCTGATCTCTTTAATTAACCCACTCATGGGAACGCCTCTGCCCAAAGGGCTGCCGCAGTCGTTGCAACTTCAGGCGCTAAAATATTTAGCACCTTGAGTTGCAAAACGCAGCAAAGAGGGACTCAGGGCCAGGCTGTGGAGATAGGATGGCCTCTGCTCCATACCTTGGGCACAGCTCCTTCTCTGCAAAGTCCTCAGTCTCTGGCAAGGATGGAAAACAGATGGTCCCATCCCCTCTGGTCTTTGGAAAGCCTCGGCAGCACCCAAGGGCACCCACATCAAGCCCCAGCAGCCTTCATCCACCTCCATAATGGGAGATGCTTTCTTTGGGCTTGTCGCTTGAGGTTAGGACATCTCCATGGGACGCTCATCTGTGCTCCAGCCTGGGTGTTACAACATTTCATTGCTTTTTCTTCAAAAAAAGAAGCAAGAAAAGGCAGGTGCTCTTCCCACCGAGTCACAGGGATGCGGGGATGGGGGCACCAAGAAAACCTCCGGAGCCACATGCTCAGATCACAAGCTCTGACCACAGTAGTTGTAGTAGACTACTAATGGTTGGCAACTTCAGATGGTCTATTTGGATGAGAGGACACCTAGAGAGCAACCCCACATGGGTATGTCGCCACTGCAAAATTAATGTATCTCTGAAGGCCCTGTCTGCATGCAAACCTGGTGGCCCAACCTCAGCTGAGGGTATTGGAGCATTTTGGCTGCACTGAGGACCATGAGGTGGGCCCCAGATGACTCACAGGGACCCAGAGGACACCCTGGCCTAGGTGGCACTTTGTCCCTGGTGGATCAGGTGCCTGGGAAGTGGCCAGAGCAGAGCTGACGGACGTCTCTGTGCCCTTGCAGGCAACCCCATGAGCGCAGCCTTGCAGATGACGGCCTTCGTCCTTGCTCTTCTCTCAACGCTCTTCCTGCTCCTTGCCACGTGCACCGACTGCTGGATGGTGAACGCTGATGACAGCTTGGAGGTGAGCAGAGCAACCATCTTCCAGGTTAGCAGCTGGGAGCAAGGTGGGTACCTTGACATCCATGGGGTTGCGCCATGTCTCCACGGGCTTGGAAAGGGGCCATGGTGGGACAAACCCACTGCTTTCTGCGTGAGTTTGGAGGATTAGAGAGAGAGAAACGCTGGAGCAGGAGGAGGCAGAGCGCAAGGTATGGGTAGGGAGTCACCGGGACGTGTCCAGCTGCGGTGCTGAGAGCCCGAAGATCTGCCTTGCTGGGCTGGGCCATCCCTGGGGAGCTGGGGTGCTTTTTGGTGCTTCTTGCTGGAGTGTCTTTCTCCCGCTTGCAGGTCAGTCACAAATGCCGGGGGCTTTGGAGGGAGTGTGTCACCAACATGCAGGATGGGGTCAGGACCTGCGACCAGTATGACTCCATTTTGGCGGACCACCCAGGTAAGCTGGCGTGGCCTGGAGGCATTTTTTAAGTTCACAGCTAAGGGTTTTCCCTCTTCCCTTTTCGAGAAGATGATCCGCTTTGCAAAGGGCTGATCCTCGTCAGTCAGCAATGCAGGCCCAGGGCTTCTCTTGGTCTCCTGCCCCATCAACGTGGCCTGGATGGCAACCCATGGGCCAGCCAGATCTGCCATGGGGCCACCAAGCTGGAGAGAGGCCACGAAGCCGTGCCACCTCACAACGAAGGGGTTTTGGCACAGGTGCAGCTCCTACCCCGCGTTCCATGGTGGGATCTGCAGCCCCACTGCTGTTGCGTGCAGGGGTGAGGACCATTCCCGCTGGGCAAGCGTCCGCAGCTCAGGGAGTCATCTCGTGGCATGGAGACTTCTCCTGGCCTGCACAGGGCGCATCAGGCCCTGCACAGAAGAACCCTCGTATAGGGTGTTGACACAGGAGAACACAGGTTCGGGAAGCGAAGGGAACAAGAAGTCAGCATGGACTAAGTCGGGCCGTTGTGCTGCTCTGGGGAAAAAGCCGTAGGGAGAAGTCCCATCACACGCGGCTGGTGACGTGAACCGTGCCAGCTCTCATATTTTTCACTGGTATGTTGACATTTGCTGTTCAAAACCCCAGCTACACAACTTGGAGAAGAAAAACCCCACAGTCAGGACAGCAGCATCTTCTGTCCAAGCCTGTGCAAGAAGGTCTTGAGTAGGTGACCACGTCCCAGGTGCTGGGATACACCATAAGCTGTTTGGTTCCTTGAGCTGGTCTAATAACGGGCTTATTAAGTCCTGTTGCAAGGTTTCAGATGATTTCATTTCAGCCTGATGAGCACCTTGCACGCGGCAGGCATGGGGTCGGTGGGTGCCAATGTAGGTGTCTCCTACGGACTGGTGAGCTGGATGGCTCTAGCAGGGACACAGGCAGCAATCGGGAGTGGGGAGACCAGTTCCTCTGACCGTTCCTCAGTCCCCTCTCCGGTTTTTTTGTTTTCCTTCCCTGCCCAGTGAAGATCGTGGTGACCCGGACCCTGCTGATCACAGCGGACCTCCTGGCTGGCCTGGCTTTGGCTACGTTGCTCCTTGGGCTCGACTGTGTCAAGTTCCTCAAGGAGGAGCCTCGCGTCAAACTGAAGATGTGCTACGGGGCCGGTGTCATCCTCGGCCTCGGGAGTGCGTGGCTGGGAGAGCTCAGGGGGCAGATGGACCCTGTGGCCCATGGGAAGCTGGGGAGATGCTGGGAGCTGGGGGCACCCCCCCCAGGGGGGTTTGGTGAGCATGGGGGTGTTGTATGGCTCGCTCTTACCCGGCCCCGTTCCTCCTAGGCATCCTGGGTCTTGTGGGCTCCGTGTGGTACGCGGTGGACGTCTACGTGGAGAGAGCCATGCTGGTGTCGCACAATATATTCCTGGGAGTCCACTACGACTTCGGGTGGTCGTGCTGGCTGGGGATGGCCGGCTCGACGGGCTGCTTCGTGGCATCCGTCCTGCTGACCTGCTGCCTCCACGCCTGCGCAGGTCGGTCTGCCCTGCCCCCCCCATCCCACCGTACGCAGCTTTGCGCCCTGCAGGGACGTACGCGGGGCCACGGACCAGCTCAGGGGGCGCGGGCACTTCTTGCAGGGTCCAGCCGAAGCAAGGGGAAGCCCTTGGCAGCCAAGGCTGCGCCTCGGCCGGGGAGGCCGGGTCACGCCAGGCAGGACGGGGCTGCGTGGGGACCCCATGAGGGCACGGCGGGGGTGCAGAAATGCTCCATCCGCATCTGGGGGACCTCGAGGTCCTGGTGAAGGTGTGTCGACGTCTACCCAAAGCAGTGGCCGGGCTGGAGCTGTATCACTGTGACCAGCCAAAGCCTCAGCCGGTGGCCGCAAGGACGCGCCGGTGGCAATCTGGCCGTGCCACCGTCAGGGACGCGGGGCAGGCCACGTCTCGCCAGGCGTCCCCTCCAGCCCTTACGCCCCTCGGGTGGAAGCCCCCGGGGCCCCTGGCACCCCCAGAGCCTTCCCCAGCCCCGGGGCCAAACGGCCACCAGCCAGATGTACGCCATGGACTCCCGCGTGTGACGGGCAGCAGCACCTCCCGCACCTGGCCCCGCTGCGGGGTGCTCTCCCCCCCCAGCCTGACCCCATTAAAGCACCGTCGCCTATACTGGGACATCTCCGCGATTGCTTTAAGGCTCTGATCGCAGGGTCTGCGCGAGCTGTAGCTTCAGCGGCTGCAAAAAAGCAAGGGTGCTGCAGAAGTCCCCCACAGAGGAGGCTTTTTCCCCCCCGTTTCCAGCCAGGTTTCGCAAAACCAAACCCCAGGAACGCGTTGCTTTAGGACAAGAGGTCACCGAGGCCCCTGGGAAGCTGTTGGGACACTGAGGGCAAAGGAGCCGCTCCGACATCGCCCAGCTGCTGCTTTGGAGGAATTTAGGAATTTGCCTTTTCTGCGCGGAGCAAGACTGACTCCGCGTGGCTGGTGGCCCCGGTCACTCCGTGCCGGCCTGCTGGAAACCGCCCCTGCGCTCAGACGTGTGGCAGCACACGGTTTGCATTTAAAAACCGGGTAAAGCTTGCAGCCTGGAGCATTTCTCGTTATCAGCGGAGGAGCGCGGTGGCCGTACGTCTCGGGCACAAGGCGCCGAGTCAGTTTGCAGCCTAACGGAGGTGCTCTGCCTGCAAAGTTGGGGTTTTAAGTCCACAGGAAAAGGGAATTCTGTTTTCCCAGTGAATTATTATCCTTCTTCACTTGCAAACCATTATGAAAACAAACCAGAACCCAAACCCGCCACGCCCCCCGCCGCAGTCGCCGACGGCTTAGTCCTTGCCCTGATCCCTCGCCCCAAGGCTGGCGCAGAGAAACCACGGCAGCGCAGGGAAGCTGGGCAGAAACCTCCCTGGCAGGGGCTTCGCCACCCCGAAAGGCAGCAGCCCGAGCCCCCGGGCCCGCGCAGACGTTGCCGCAGGGCCGGGGGGCCCCAGCCGGTCCCTGCGGCGGGAAGGCGCAGAGGAGACTGGCAGCAGGGCTTTGGTAGCCTGGGCAGGCTGCAAAACACCCACCCCCAAGCCGCCCCTCCCCGGGGAAGATGGGGACGTCATTTCTCATCTCACACGAAGCCGAAAGGCAGCAAACCTCTCGCTGGATCGCAGCTGCCGCTTTGGGTGCTACGGGGAAACCGCCGCCGGCCAGCTGCTGCGTCCTGCGGCACGGGAGCAAGCGCGTCGGTCGTTAGCACGGGTTAAAGCAACGCCCCAGGGACCTGAAAAATGGAAGAAATCCGGTCACTAAAGCTGGGCGGCGGAAATAAAGAGCGTGACTGAAGGCGCACGGCTCACAGCCGACGCATCGGACGAGGGGCAGAAGCGCGTTCGGAGGTATTTAGAGAGAGCAAGACCTAAATGCGCGGGGCTGTTAATGGCTGGCGCTTGAGCACAATGTAAAAAAAAAAAAATTAAAGTTAAAAAGAGCAAGCGCGGAGCCCATCAGTGCATAGAAAGGAAAGCTGTCAAGAGCTGCCATCACACAACCGGATAGGCACGTTCCTCACTGGTAATTTATGCCCGGTGCTATTAGAGCACAGCACCGCGAGCGGCGGGGCGGCCGAGGCCGAGCGAGCAGCGGCCGGGGGAAGAACCGGCTCTCAGCCACCCCGGCGGCGGCCCCGGCTCTCAGCCACCCCCAGAGCCGGTTTCACCCCCGGGTGACAGGGGACTGCGGCACCGCGGGGAGGCCGGGAGCCTCCCAGCACCTGCGCGGGCTTCCAGGCAGCCTCTCGCTGCTCCGAGCGGGACACGGAGCCGGGCAGGACGTTAAGCCGAGCCTGGGCAGGCGCCAGGCTGCTGGTGGAGGCTCTGGCCTTCAGACCCAGGCGGGAACCTGCCTTTTCCCTGGTTTTCCCTCGATTCCCCTTCCCGCACACCAGCGGGACACCAGCCACCCTTCCCACCGAGCGCCTCCCCTCTTCGCCCCCCGAGAGCCTTTCCACCCCGTTGCCGTAGGGCTCAACGACTTCAATTTCCTTTTTTACTTTAATTTTTTTTTGCATTTTACCCCAACAGCCTGTATGCTGAAGGAATAAAGTAGTATTTTTTTCCCAAACCTTATACCAACGCTTCACTTAAAACCCTTCATACAAACGTGGGTTTACAACGACGAAGCACACAAGGTAATTCTTTAAGACCTTTATTAACAGATGCTTGCAGTTTGACTTGAAAAAATCAGGTGTATTATTTCATACAAATTAAAAATGAGGTTCTTAAAAATCTCAACTTGACCAGATATGAAACAATTTAAAAACCTTTAAAGGTATATTGAGAAAAAACAGGCTTTTAAAAAACGTGTTTATCGTTTCCAAAAGGAGACTTCTTCAGGTAAAAATAATAAAAATCCCATGCTGCATAGATAATGCAGATAGTTCTGTAATCTGGTCAACAGCAAAAAGCAAGCACTTAAGGTCTTCAGTTCCAATTCTTTTGTTCATTTCTTATTGCTGGAATTTCATTTTCTTTTCTTCTTCATTTCTTAAGTCTTTTCTTTGATGACTAAACTGAAAAAGAGAACAGAAAGGACCATCAGGCAGGTGTCCGAGGGGGTTTTGTCTAACGAGACTCACCCGCAACACACAAGCTCTCACCGAGCTCACCTCCACACACCTCCACACACCGACACCGCCCTCACCAGCTGCAGCTCTTCAACCAGCCCGCGACGCTCCCGCCATCAGCCCGCTCTCAGCAGCCAAAACCGCCATCTTCCACCCAAACCGAACGCAAAGGACTGCGGAAAGACGCGACGCTGAATTTAAACGCAAAGGAATCCCGCCTCCACCTCTCCCCGCACCGGCCTCCTGGGGAGAGCCGCCGACCTGGGGCTCCGCACTGCGGGACCGGGCCTGGAAGCGGAGCTGGGAACTCCGAGCCAGCCCCTGGGAAGGCACGCAGACAACCCGAGATCTTCAGGAGACGGCTGAGGAGCAGGTTTCTACCTGTGCCCAGCAGAGACAGCGCAGCATCAGCAAGCCACTGCCCAGACCACAGAAACCACAATTTATTTTCTCCGACGCTGCCGACAGACAGAAAGAGCAACCAAGGGCCATCCTGGGGTTTCGCTGAAGCCCACGAGGAAGAACTCATCCAGTTAACCATTAAGATGGACGCCAGGATAAGAGGTTCACATCAAGCGCACGGAAAACCCAGCCGCGAGGCTTGAAGAGGCATCGGGTAGCCCTGCACGACAAACCCAGCAGCGCCCAGCCCTTGAGGACCCAGCTCTCGGAGCTGGGAGGCCCGCGGCTGCCGGTGACGCCACGCTACTCCCCACGCCCAGCTCCGCGCTCCCTGGTCATCCCGTTAACGTGACCACTCGTTACCGCTCCCACCAGAGCCTAAATCCATCTTTCCACCTGCCTGCCCTCCAGGCAACGAGTGAGGCGCAAAGGGAGCGGGGTACGAACGCTGGCGAGAGGAAGAACAGCCAAGGCAGGTGCCAGGCAAAGCCCAGCAAGTAGAAAGCGACCCGGCAATGAAAATACTCCCAAATTAGCAAACTGTCCTTCAGAAGACAGCACCAAGCAAGTGCCAAGTCACAGCCAGCCTACCTTGCAGCGAAAGCAAGGTTTTAACATCAGCCTTTACGCAATCCTGCCAAGCGGCAACCGCACCAGCGCTGCAGTACCTCAGCCGCGGGCGCCCTGGATGCTCCAGAAAAAGGACCGGACCGTCTCTACCAGTTGTTCCAGCACTTTTTTGTTTAGATAAAAAGCTGCTACTGAGACACTCCTGCCAATTCCGCATCAGCTTTCTAGAAATTCATGCCTAGAGGTCTTAATGCCATTCACTTCCCCTCTGGGACCGAGGGGTAAAAGCTCGGACGCTTACAGAGCTGAGTAAGTCCCAGTGCCCCTTTCTCCCAGCTCCTTTCTCGCCACTCCGCCAGCACCGCCAGAATCGCTGTACCGGGGTGGGCGAAGGCTGCCCCAGGCCTGACCTGCTCCTGAGCACAGCCCAGATTTTGAGATCAACAGTGATTTTAAGGCAGTGACTCCATCAATGAAAATTCAAGCCTGGTAACTGAGTCCTCCCAGTTAATCAGCATTTGTACAGCAAAGTCCCCCAGTTTGGTTTTGCAGACGACAGCGAGCACGCTCACAAGCGCGGCCAGTTTGGTTACAACACGCATGAGCAAGACTAGTCCAAATCTTTTAAGGCAAAAAAACCAAAGGAAAGCATCAAAAGCAACAAGTCGGTCATCAAATCGTATCCTCAAGAACCTCCGGACACGCACCCGGATGATGGTAGAGATGGTAAGCCGGTATTTACTCAGCCCCGCCCTGCTCGGCCTCGGGAGCGGACGTGTTCTCAGCTGGTGGTTCGGCTGTCTTCGTCTCTTTGCCATCTTGTGGTTTAGGGTTCTCTGGGCGTCTGCGTCGGTAGTTGAAGTTACGACGGTACCGACGTTGAGGTGGCTGCTGACTTTGGGTTTCATCCCCTTGGTTCTCTTTATCTTCTTCGTTCCCATCCTCTCTAGGCTGTCTTTGACGAGGAGGACCCCTGAAAGTCAAGCTAGGCTTTAACAATGCAGCATCTGACCATCGCCATGTTCTGTCTCTGTTGCTAAAAGGCAAAGTTTAAAAAAAAAAAAAGTCCGTCTGCAGCATACCTGCGAAATCGTGGTCTATAACCTCGATACATGTTCTGCCTGACTGGTCTGCCTTGTTCTCCTGCACCCTGGTTGTCAGCACCCTGGAAGACATCAGGTAACAAATCATCTTAGCCACAGGCAGAAGCCTGTAACACCACGAGCGGGCAAGCCGTGAGGAAGACGGCTGTAAGGGGGCTGTCAGGTCAAGCCCGAGGCGTACGACGAGGCGGGCAGAGGTCCTAGGGCACGCGAGTACGCACCATTAGAATTTCCGTTTCTTCCAGTTAATCGTATAGGAAGTTACCACAAATTCAAATTTGTGTTTCTTCCAGTTGATCGTGCGGGAAGTTACCACAAATTCAAACACATTCTTGTTTTTTTTAAAAGCTGTAACATTAAGACCTTCTTCAGCTCATCAACATCTTGCTCCAACGCTTCATCCTACCGCCAAACCTTACCAAAATCACCTTGAGTATCTACGAAAGCGGCAAAAAGCTGCGTCCCATCACCCTGCTCCAAAACAATCAAGCCAGTTTAGCCCCACACGTTAAGCAAACGTTACCTCCACTATCTCTCCCTGCACGGGAGGGTTGGAATATTGTGGTCGACGCCCGTAGGGCCTACGCATATAGTAAGGTGGGTACCGCCGCCTGCGATAGGGACGGCGTTGCTGGGCTTGACCTTCTGGTATGTTCTCTGCTCCTTCGTTCTTTTCCCCACTCTCACTATTCTGGTAGTTCTGCTGGTAGTTGCGTGGAGGACCCCTACGACGTGGATATCGTCTGTAATGGTTACGGTCTGCTGCGTATTTACTGCCTTGCACTGGAACGCCGCCAGGACCTGTAACATTAGCTGCCTCCGCACCCTAAAGAGCAGGGACAGCGTTAGGTAGGTAAACACTCAGCATCGAATCAGTTATAGCGTAATATAATTCAGTACTTAGCAACTATTTACATCCACGTTGTAAAGCAATGAAAAACCATTCATCTCCTTGGATGTCATCAGGCATCGACTCAAACCACAGGCCACACCAAAGCCTGCAGACCAAGTTTTCCGTGCGTACGCTAACACCCGAGAGGTGAGTTTACCTTTTCTCCCTCAACCACATCAAACTCCACGGTCTCTCCATCTCCTACGCTGCGGAGGTACTTCCTGGGGTTATTCTTCTTTATGGCAGTCTAACAACATAACATCGCAAAATTACATTTACAGGCACAGCATGAGAATACTACTTAGCATATCTGAAGACTTTTTTTTTTTAAAACAGTAAGTAATTTGAGTATTTAATATCTTAGCAGGAAGACCTGTACTCCTAAAAAAAGCAATTAACACTGTGCAAATCCAGGAAGCCATAGAATTTACCCATATTACTATAGTTCTGGCCTATCTGAAATGTGTAACAGCTGACTAGAAACACCTGTCAACGTGCCGCTCGCTAGCTGAAAAAGCGGTCTGAAAACAAACAAACCCCCCCACAATACACACTGGCCATAGCACGCCTAACCAGAGTTCAGCTTTAAACCCCCCCGGAGCAGTTACACTTTCCTCTGAAGCAGATACACCAGTATATAAGCCTTTCCAGTCATACACTCAGATTCCCAGCCCTCTACCACTTTCCCACACCACCGCAGCGTGCAGTAGCCTACCTACAAATGAGGCCGTCCCACGCTACGTAAACACATCCATGGCCAGAAATCACGAGATTTCTTTCTCTAGGCTTCCAATACCATCGCTTCAGCTGCGGTATTTATCAATCAATCACAAATCTGCTCCAGCCGGGTATTATGCACCAAGGATTAGCCCTTCCAAGGTGTCAGCACCAGGCAAGCCTTTGCATCGCTATCTGCGTGTTAAATGACATTACTAGAAAACACTGAATTTTCCATCCTATTCAGCAGCGGATTAAATTTCTGACAGCTGAGTTAATGCTCAATACGCACCACTCAGGCACATTGTTTATCAAACACTAACTGAACAGTTATACAAATGTAACAACTTTACAAAAAATATCAGCAACAGAATTTGACTAGATTGTTTTCCCTAAATGGAACAAAATCTATGGAAAAACATGCCCACAAGTCTCAGCCTATAAAGCAGTGGCTTCAGGGAAAGACAGGGAACCTTCTTACAACAGTAGCTGCGCGTAACAGCTCTTCACGAGACCCAAGCTTGATAACGGGGATGGGAAAAAGCATACGCAGCTATAACTCCTAACCCAAGCTGATTTCTTTCAGATTAGACCTCTCAAACTGTTTTGTCATGAAAATTATTACATTAAAACAAATCACTGCCAAAACTGTGCTTTTAGAAACACAGACAGGAGTTACATGACAAGTCCTGAAATCCGACTCATAAGTCAAGGTCACTTACAGGTTCCCCTACTTGCAAATCGAGTACTGAAGGCTGAAAGCTTCCCGTCAGGGTAAATATTCCTGCCTCGGTACACCGAAATGCAGTGGAGTCGCTTGGCCTTTCTCCACTGCCCATTACAGAACAACCTCTTCCAAACAAACGCCTCTACATTTTAACAGCAGGTAATTCAGACATAGCACAAGCAAGAAGCTGAGAGATGGCAAATCGAACTCGAGTCGAAACGCTTGCCAGGGGTTACTTTTTCCTCCCTTTGTTGACAACATCAGCAGTATATCCCTAACTCGAAACAAAAGAGCAATCCATGGGCTCCTAAATGCCAGAAGTAAACCATGCTCCACTAAGAACTCTTTGTGGGCTGCTTGACAACAAGAGATCCTAAGACAGGGTAAAAACACAGAGCTGATCACAGAGACTTACGAGTCAGATGCAAAGGACTAAACTAAGGCCAACCCGCTCCATGAAATAAACCGCAGGTGTGGTGTGCAGTCTGACTCCGATCTAGTTTCCAGACATTTACACGCTCCCCAGAAATAATATTTAAGTGTACCTATCTGTTTAATTGAAAAAGTATCGATTAAAATGTTTTCAGGCTTTCACTGAAAGCCTGGAGCCTTAAATTCCATAAAAGTTTTGCCTAAAAAAAATAATCTTCACTGGCACTTCATCCCTATTCCAGCCCAATTAATTTCACTCCCTGCTGCAAGCTTTTCATTTAACCTTATTTCCCTGTGCTAACTCACAACTACACGAATCCACAGGGTGACTGAACTGGACTTCAAACAGTTACCCCCGAGTCAACAGAGCAGACTTGCAGACAGCGCAGTTTTCATCATCGTACAGCATCAGCCCGCTCGACCCCACGTATCTCCTGTCCTCACGATGGATGCAGGTGGATACGCAAAACCCCCGAGCACACGCAGGCTGTGCTTGCAATCCGATAGTGAGCAACAGTTGTTTGTGTTCAAGTAACACGTCTTGGAAAACGTGAGGCTCTTGCACAACTTCAACCCTAGTTCCATAGGTCAGGCATAGCAAGTTTCGGTTTCAGGGAAGTCTTACCTGATGGACAAACACATCTTCCTTGGTGTCATTCCTGCAAGACAACGGGAAATGGAAATTCATGTATGAAACGCACACTAAATTAGCCCAGTTTATGAATTCAGTTGTTTGGGGAGGGGATCAAACAGGGAACTGTCAAGACAACCAGCTATCAGCATCAGCCTCGCTCCTCAACCTGCTCCCAACCAGTCCCCTACTAGCTCACTGCCTGAAGCGAAGAGATCGTCAGGTAGCCTACGCAAAGGTCAGGGCACGGGCTGAAGCCCAGTGAGTCGCATGTGAAGGCCTCCTCTCTCCCCCCTGCACACCCCTCTATCCTTCACATCCCACCGATGGAGATGCTGGAGGAAAGAACACCGGACAGCAAGCAGTCGCTTCTGACAGGGGCTGTGTGGGAGATGGGCTATCGCAATCCTTGAAAGAAGCTACGATATCGCCACTCGAGCCTTGCCTGATCTCCCCGGAGTTCCCTCCTCCCAGCCTCCTTCATTTAAGGAGTAACAACACTAGTGGACCACTAGCAGGAGGGTTATTCAAGTTGCATTTGTCAGCAGAGAGGACAGAGCTTGGGTTTCTCCCCCCACAAGAAACAGAAAACAGCTCAAGTCTGTACCCACAAGAACCCGAAAGCACCCTTCAGCGTGAGCACAATACAGTTTCCACCAGTACCACGCTGAGTGAGGCTGGACAACCGCACCACCAGCTGAAGTCAGAAGAGTTTCTCTCCTGCCATGAAGAGGCAGAGCCCGAACAGCCGCCGCGCTGGTTTGGGCGCTGTACGTGCCGTTTCCACCACCCGTAACAAACTTAGAGCCATACACCCAAGCATCGTACCCACTGAACCTCGCTGCAGTGTTAGTTTCATTACTCTGTGGAATGGTTTGAATCAATAGCAAAGCGGCTTTTAATTCCTAGAATGACTGGTTAAAGACATCACAAAGCGTGCTCAGAACTGGAGAGCTGACAGTTATCGGTAACAGAATAAAGATTTTTTTTTTTTTTTTTTTTTTAAGAAAAAGCCAAGTGTTCCTCACCCCCGGCT